CTGGCTAGCCGTATAAGAGGCTTGAGCCGTTTCCACCCAAGTTGGAGAACTCCAAGGAGAACCCTGCAAGGGAGGATTTCACAACCATCTGGAGGAGAACTTCACATCTCGTGAAGATCTCTAAGTGCTGCGGAGTCTATTGGACCCAGCGTATACCTTGAGAAGGCTATAGGGGTCTGATCAGCCTCTGGCCTCTCCCCGTCGCCGAATAATCCCTCGACGAACCCCTTCCCTGCGCGCAAGTTCCACGGAGCCTAGCAAACTTCGTGTGAGTGTATCCAGAGCTCTTTCTCCGAGTTGTTTTCTTCGGTTGACATGACGGGCTCGCGTGTTTAGAGCCTTCAACCGGATTGGGCTAGAGGTTCGCGTGGAAGGAACTCTTGTCCGCCTCTCTTCTTTTCTGTCTGTAACCGCAACTCAAGCAAGTTTTCCTGCCTGCACCGCGACCATCTTCGGTGTAAGTAAAATAATCTTTAATCAACCGCTAAGCGTCCATGCCTAATTCTAGTCCGCCGGCCTGCATTCCCCGACCCACGTGCCAGGGCTGCTGGCCACAGCCCGCCACGCGCCCCCGAGAACCTCGGACCGCTCCCGGCCCGCACAGCTTCGTCACACTGCCGACTCATGTTCATCTTGGAGCCCACTAGCATGCTAATTAGCATGCTAATTAGCAAGCTCCAGCACAATCAATTCATATATAGCTTTGTGACACCTGTACCAAATGTCTGCACTACAGGAGATTAAATGCTTCCAGTGATATCACTTAATCAAACATATTAGTGTTGTATCATTCTGAGGGTCTAGACTACAAGAGGGCTCTAAATTAAATGGGAAAAATACAGAAATTATCTTTAATTTGCCAGCAATGACAATGATAAAAACCTGACATGGAATTTTAGTTGAAATGGTTAAACTAAGAAAAAAATTAACGGATTACTTCTATAACTGCTAGATAGAAAGCCTTCTCCCTCCATTAAAAAAACAAAACAAAACCCAAAAATAGACAGACTTGTTTGGCTAGTAAATAGTGGAAACCATTGAGGGCACAAAGGAGTTCCTTGAGGCAAAAGAGTGCCTTTACAACTGGGGTATGATATAGCCCATGGGCTGAACCTGGCCACTAGGCTCCCAAGAGGCAAGATATTGGTGGCAGAGGAGCAGAGGCAATGTTAATTACTACAGCAATTAATACTGCTGACACTTGTCCTGCCGTCACATTTCTAGATCTGTGGGGCGTTCCATGGGCTAGATGACGCAGCCCCATGTGCCATACTGGGCCCATGGACCGGCCCTGTGTCACTCATCCAGTTTGTTGTATAGGCACTGGCACATTTCATGCTAGTTATTTTGCTTAACTCCTTGTTTTTGTTAGCCTGTTCTAGTATCCCAAAGGGCTTAAATATTCTCACTTTGTTGCTCTTCCTTAGGACAACTCTGGTCTCAATGATGATCTCACTGAAATCAGTGGGTCATTAGCCAACATTATCTACAACATCCAAAAATGTAGTATGAATTTTGTAGTGCACATTAAGAAAACATTAATTTCCAGTGGATATGGAAGGAAATACAAGCATCCAAACAAAATCAAAAGAACAGAAGGTGGAGGAAGAAACATCTCAACAGCAATCTTCTTACCTTTCGCTATTGTTGGCATGTGGAAAGGAATGCTAATTACACCCACCAAGTCTTCCAATGGAATCAAAGACCGCAGTATTGACCTGATCCTAATGGCTTCCCCTTTGCCGGCATGGATTAGCTAAATGAAAGCATAAAAGAAAAAGAAAAAGGATTAAGCATTTTACCCCCACACCTGCATCTACCTTTGCCTGCACCCTCTAGAAACCTTCTGAGGTACATATTTTTAAAGTAAGTATGAGTCAGGGTCAAACTACACTGAACAATATACATTTTGCACAATTTATATTTTATTTGTTGTCACATTGATTCAAATTGATAGATTCTAGAACCATGGAATTTTTGTTATTTGGGAAGAATGATCTCATTTTCAATATTAAATGATGGGACACCTGGGGAACAATGCAAGGTGCGCACATGTAACAGGCCTAGTGCAAAAAGCCCCTTGAACAGGTAATGAGCTTAGTTATCTTGTCATTGGCTCCACTATCCCAACCTGGTCCACAGCTCCTTCAGGTGGCCAGGAACTTATAAAAAAAATCAGGGCACAGTGTTTCTATATCTAACAAATAATAATAGTAATACACCTCTCACATCAGATAATTTATAATAAGGGTGACCTAAAATATTTGAGGACTGTACAAATCTGACATTTAGTTCAAGTGAATCCAGAAATATTTCTCAATGCAAGGAAGCAAACTTGCAAAATTTAATGTAATTTTGACAGAAATTGTGTCAAATTATGAATTCAATGTTAAAAAAAGAGTCTTAGATAACCTTTCCTAACCCCATCTTCATTCATCTATTATTTCTGTTCATAATTCAAAATCCAATGTAACAAAGAATTAGGTAAATAATTCAGTATAGGGGTAATTCTGTTAAATTTACTGGGACTACTCCCATGCAAAAAAAATCCTATACTCTTTGAAGGACTAGATGTTAAGTTTGTAGGCCCTTTGAGGTTTTGAGGCAGAGACCATCTTTGTATAGTAATATGCATTTGTTCAAGGCCTAACATTATGATTCCCCAACCTTGAGTAGTATCTTCAGTGCAAATGCACACATCAAGATGAAAAACTACTTTCTCTCTCATAACAGAACTGATTCTTAGTATTTTGATCGGACAAAATATTATTTTTCCTTTTCTATGAATCAAATAATTTGTTAAAAATATATATACCAAGAGAGTAAAAAAATGCTGCTTAAGAATTATTTTACAATCATGCAAAAAGAAGGAAAGTTTGAGTAGTTTGATAGGCTAGATGTTACCACACTGTGCTCCCACCTGAGAAAAATTGAGCTCACAAACAACTTCTGGACCCTCCCAAGGAAAGCAATAGAGAAATTAATGGACTGTTTTTTGTCTTCTGAAAGGAGAGATATAAGCTTCCTTCTACACTTCTATTCCTTTTTTCTTGTTATGCTTTTCAAATGTTTTAGAAATGCAGAGTGGATCAGTATCAATGACAGGAAAAGGAAAAACAAGGGGATCAATCTCTGGCATTCTTTCAAGATGAAAACTTAGAGGCCCTTGTACAACATAGTGCCCTCTGAGAGTACAGAGGGGTGTAACAATCAGGAGAGGATCCAAAGGAGGTGTGCAGCCACAGCAGCAATCCCCATTTCATCCCACACCATAGAGGCAGCAGCCAAAGAGTTCTGTTTAGTTCCAAAGCAGGTAAGACTCTTCCACACTGCTCTTGACAACTGCTCCTTTCCCCTCCATGCTCAGTGGCACCTTCTTTCCATCCGTTCCCCCTATCTCCTGCCCACTGGATGCCACTTCCTGACTGATCTGAGACAAAGTGGAGCTCCAGAGTTATTCCAGTCACAGTCCAGCTGAGCTATGCAGGGAGTCAGACTCAGCCAGGGACAGGGCTGGCTGAGCCCAGACTCAGCCAGGGACAGGGAGGTTCCCCTTTCCTTCCATGTCCCCTGGGAGATTCCCCACCAGCTCAGGGATGGAGAATCTGTCCGCTGCCACTACTGTCCCCAGCCAAGCCTAGGTCCCTGCACAGCCACTCCCTGAAGCCCTGACTAGAGCAGGGAAGGGGCAGCTGACAGAGGCAATGTCAGGTGGGTCTTTCCTTCCTGTGCCCAAAGGCATAAGTAGAGGGGAGAGGGGGAGAAGAAAGGAGGTCCCACTGATGGGGTGCCAAGAGCAGGAGGGGAGATTCTTAGCAGATTCAAGTCCCTGGCTGCTTATACTTCATTGTAGTCTGTGTGGTCTGTTTGTGGCTGGAAGCAGAGGGTGCAGCCACCCCTGCAACACCAGTCACTGCTCCTTCACCTCTCTTTCCCAAATCCTGGATCTGCTTATGGTAACACTTGAAACATTTCCAAGGGAAACATACTGGGAAACAGTTTGAAAAGGAAACCTTTCAGGCAGGAGATAGAAGTATGTTCCCTGTGCCATTCCCTAGCTGTAACATTTTAAAATACTGCAGCCTCCTCTAGCACCAGCCAAGGGGTGTTAGAGTAGTATGCAATGACCTGCAACTCTGCTCTCAGTCCCTTCACTCCTTTGTTTTCTGACAGGGATGGTAGGTAGAGGGGAAGGGAGAGCAGAGAGTCAAAGAGGAGGAGGAGGTTCCCCAAGCCTCTCCTCCCCGCCGTGGAGATAAGAGGTAGAGGGGATTGGGGCTGGAGGTCCTAGCTCTGGCACAGGTCTGGCAGGGGAACTGGAAGGTGATAAGCCTGACTCCAGGTCCCATGCAACTCCTACGTGTTGCCCCCATTCAGGTGTAAACACAAGTAAAACACTTCAAATAGTACCTCATTTCAAGAGGTACTAGAGGTACTATTGCAAAACATTTCAACTACTTCTGGAATTCTGATTTGCTATTAGCTTCTGAGGGAAAAATTTGCCTATACACAGATTTTAGGAAATCCTTATAGCCAATATTCATCTCTCAGTTCCTTAATCATTTTCATCAAAATGATCTCATGTTTACATACTGCACTGACATACCATTGTTTCAAAATAGTAAAAAGCCAAATGTTTAGACCACCAAGCTATCAACAAGAAAGTAGCTCTACTGGACAGTATCTGAAGAAACAAGACTTACGTGCATTTCAGGGGCACAGCGTCCTAAGAGGTCAATCAAAGCAGCATAAAATGTCATGATGGCATTTCCCATGTGGATTGTGTCATCTTCTTGTTCTTCCATCTCACTTGTGTTTATTTATTTGTTAATGGAAACAAAATATGAAATATAAAGATGCGTAAGGCTTTTACATCAGCAAAAAAATCAACAGAAGCTGGGAGGGCGAGGCAACAGAATCTGCTCACAATTACAGCTAAATCCTGGGTGAGTTCACTGCCTTCAGATTGCCATGAGATTAATTTAGAACAAAACTATACTGGCATATCTAGTACTTTTTATCCTCTATTTTTTGTAGTGTTGCAATTTCAGGTATATTTTTCAACTCATTGGGCACAGAAAATAAGTACCTAGAGAACAGAGGTCTTCATGCATTTTAATGCCTGAGGTACCTAACCTAACACAATGCTACTTTACATCCTCCTTTTTAGTCATGTGTAGCAGGAGATTCCACTGAGCCCTCTAGTATTTGGAGGGAACATCTGGGAAAGTACAGACTACATGCAGCACCTATTTTCCTTCAAAACAGGAATCTGATTCCTACTTATCTGGCTGACAAACAGCAGGAAAGAATCCTAAAAGAAAACCAAGATTGATAACCAGTTGCCTGGTTGGTAGCTCTGAGTTAAGGCAGAGATGGTGGCAGCTGGCAGAAGATACACTTCCTATAGAACTTAAAGAAGAAGGGAAGGATATTTTCTTCCCATGCAGTGAACTAGATTATGTGATAATAGTTTAAGAACAGACTAACAAAAGGCATGATGAACTGGACAAATGAGATTAAGCCAAAAGCATAGGTTAGTTAAATTGCTCTCTTGCACTTACAGGGTTTTACAGGATCCATTACTAGGGGAAGGCCCATCTCTGGTAGGATCTTCTGATATTTTTATAGCTTCCTCCATGGCAGCAAGTAAACCATTGCCTCCTTCACCTCTCAGTGCTGGACCAAAGCACTCAGGGCGACGAATAAGCAGCCTGACCACAACATTAGCATTCTCTTCAACACTCTCTCCTATCATATGAAGGGTGGGGAAGTGAAAGGGGAAGAATGACAATTCAAGATAATATGAATTCAGTACAATTCTGAGAAATGATCAGATAAAAGACCATGATGAAGAAGCATCATGTCTACATCAGTACAATGTAGAATGTAATTAAACACCAAAGACAATTTAAATTATGCTCAGTTACATAATAAACAAGCAGAAGTATGACATTTTATAATACCACCGAGAAGAAGCAAAGATGATTAGTATTTTCATATTTAAATCCTTTGATTCTGGCTGCTGTTCATTTTTAAAAGTATAAAAAGGTTCTCTATTGTCTTGATTTCCACATCATTAAAATTTACTTGATATTGTAAAATCAGAAAGAGATAAGAAGAGCCAGATTAAATATTACTTTCACCATAAAAGTGATTAAATAAAAAGGACACATAAAAATAATGCACATCCTATATACCTATGCTGAAGTTTGCACTCGTGTCAGAAGGCTGTACATGTACCAATGAAGCAAGTAAATACTGAAATCAGGCCCTATATGTAGTAGTGTCATGAGGGCAGGAAGAGTACGGTACCCGCCCTGGGTGCTGACTGGGTAGAAGTGCTAGAATCGCTCTCCAGGGGTCTTTGCCATGGCAGGGGGTAGCCCCATGCTGTCCTGCCAGGTTGTAGGAGCAGGACAGTGCCACACCAAGCAGTATATCTGGAGAGTGAGGGGATACTGAAATCAGGCCCTATATGTAGTAGTGTCATGAGGGCAGGAAGAGTACGGTACCCGCCCTGGGTGCTGACTGGGTAGAAGTGCTAGAATCGCTCTCCAGGGGTCTTTGCCATGGCAGGGGGTAGCCCCATGCTGTCCTGCCAGGTTGTAGGAGCAGGACAGTGCCACACCAAGCAGTATATCTGGAGAGTGAGGGGAGGGGGGGGGGGTTGTGGAATGAACAGAATTTTGGGGGCCTTTCCCAGTACAGG